ATAATTTTTTCCTAATTAAATCATAATTTTCGGATTTAATGGTAATGACATGTGAAAAACACTACAATTTTGCAATTAAGGTTCTAATGTGTCAAAATTCATACCAATCATATGTATATATGATAAACCCATACTTATGGATGCATTAACTAACCATGAATCACCCAAATTCATTTATAATTGTGACCTCACAAATTTATATTGTGAAAAAGTAATTAAAGGTGTAAAACATGTAATTAACCCATCAATAATGCTTATATGATGTCTAAACAAGTATTCCTATAGTAATTCTCCAACAACCTAGCCAATTTAAGCTAAATCAATGAGAATTGTGAAATATGRATAAACTTGAAATTTAGACAAAAAAAGGGTTTAGAGAGAAATTACCTTGGATTAGATGAAATATGGGATTAGGAATGAGAATCCTAGTGAAAAAACTAAATTAATTTTAGTGAATTGAGCAAAAACCCCAAAATTAGATTTTTAGGGTTCTTGAGCTCAAGAACACTTTTGAGAGAGAAAGAGATGATGTTTTGTCTTTAAGAGACAAAAAGAAATATGTAAAAGCCTTTTAAAATCAGATTTTCGTGATGTTTTTGGTTAAATTCCAGTTAAAAACGGTTTAGAACCGGTTTAGAAAATTAAAATTGAACAGAAAACTTACCCAGATTGGTTCGGTCGAACCACCGGCAGGTTTGGTAGACCGATACCGTGACCGGTACTTACTATGGTCGAGACCCGGGACGAATTTGGTCGTGTCGCGACACGAGGGATGGGATCGAGGACTCGAACTACGGTCACGTATGTGACCCGATGTTAGCGTCCGGTGTTGTGACACGGGACGAGGCATGAGCGTGTGAACGAGACGTGGGGCAAAGTCACCCGAATACCGGTCACGAGTCTCGACCGATGCACGTGACCGGTGCTGGGACACTCGAGATGCGGCACGCGGGAATGCGATACCGGTCAAGAACGCAGTTTGATATTCCGTCTGTTGCTTCGCCTGGTCGTGACTTGGTCGCGGAAGGAGCGACACCGGTCAATCGCGGTCCAGTATCGTGTCCGGTACCGGCCGACGGAAA